TCAGTCTTCCTTAGTCAGCTGGTACTTCGTCCCCAGTCTTTCGGCCAGAGTTCTAGCTCATCTCATGGAAGTCGATCTCTCGCAGCTCGTACAAGATCGAGGCGTAGATCGCGAGGTCCTCAACGAATCTGCTGTAATAGTTGAGTGTGCATTAGCGCAAGATACGATCAAGAACATTTAAATAACTCACTAGAAATTTATGAAACACTGCGTGTTCAGAAGAACAAAGTGAATTCAGTTTGCAGACGGTTTCACACTGAATAGCGTGAATATCTAGATAATTAATTATGAAGCAAAAGAAACGTGAGTGTTTAGATTTATAGAACATTGAATGCTACGGTGTAGACACTAGGTGCTACAGCAAAGCGTCTGGATTACTACTTCTCCTCAGCTCTCACTTAATACCACTAACTCTACATCAACGGCACTGTGGATAACCTGTCGATAGTGTACACTTGAGATAATAAAAACTAGCGACGCTGATTTGAGCACGTATACGAAAATTCAAGCAAACACTGATGATACCTCTCCCGCTCCATGTTTGAAACACAACAGTCGCACGAGACGACTCTGCTACTTATTGTCCGTATCTTTTTACGCGTTTCAAAGTTAGTAGCATATTCTAGACTATAACTTATGAAGACACAGCTAACACTTTAGCGTCTCACAAACGATCGGTGTCCAGTTCGAAAAGGCGTTAGGTGTGCTCGCACTTTGCTCATGTGTATCCAACACGCTATTGCTACATATTTTTAAAATGGATACGTGACAATAAGTACTTTATGTGTTCGTCTATTTCTCTATGTATAACGGGCTGAATTTTGACCAGTTCGTCTACAAATAAAAGATTATTTTTTTGCCGTTGCCAGATCAATGGATGCTGTGGGTAAATGAGTATACTGTTCTTTTGTGGAACGAAGGTATCGTGGCCAACCATGACGCATACTTTCCGCCTCGAAGTGGCATAAATCACGATGTAGTACTTGCAATAGCATGGTAATAACGACCCTACGCATATGGGAAATAAACAGATACGTTCCAGTAACTGATATAATTACAGAACGGGTCTAGCTTCTGATAGTGCTGATACAGTAACTTGTTTTCTAGCGTGTGGAAAGGGATGAGGCTTGCATAGAGAACTATTAAAATACTCTCTATGTCCTTTTGGTCCGTTATAATTTTGGCTGTTGTTTTTAAAGCACATAGGTGTACAGTTTTTCGTACTGTACATTAAGCGATTCCATGCTAAACACGGACTATCGTAAGGTAGCTTGCTGTAATGCTACTTGTTTAAAAAAGTTAAATATCGAGGTTATTTGCTATTTTAATGTGTAGGTCACATATACAGATGCAGCCAAACGGCGTAGCTCGGCAGCCAATAGAATGCGTGGAAGTGCCGTGTTTAATCTTGATTTTAGGCGAGGTTTGCGAGTCAGACCCACAGCGATTAGGTTTCCCATGAAACGTTATAATCTTTGACCTCCACGAATCAGCATAGTGTATTTATTCATACAGGAACCACCGTTGAGGTAAATCATGTGTTAATCGCGACACATCGCGTAACGTTGTTAGCTGCTCTTATGGCAGCTACAGACTTCGAAGCATTTCTATGGCAGCTACATGTTGAGCAATACAAAACGTATATAACTGTATGCTTCGAATGCATAATATTGTAGATAGAAATGCGAGAAACAAGTACTTAAGTATTGGAAAGTGAGAGAAGATGAGCGAACTTCTACAAAACATTCGTGCTGTAGCCAACTCTTGTCTTGCCGAGGGAACAGCCAAACGAATCGGCGCGTGACTGCCAATGCAGCTCGCGTGACCACGTCGTTAGGAAGGGCGCTGTGTATTTCAATGCATGCATTGCGTGACCAGTGCTATGCCCAGTGTTCGTTGGTGAGCCATGACGCATTGCTGGATGCGAGCACTTTTTGACACCAACCGTTTTGTGTGTGCTCACCACCAAATCCACAGATACAGATTGAAAGGTTTCGTATTTAGTGTTTAGATTGGTATTTGAAACGTGATGCTTTCATTGGCTAAGCTTTGCGTCGGCCTTAACTGATCGACGGCCCTCAGCTGTTTTCTTTTTTTATTTTCTTATAAATCAAGCACTGCCAGAGCCAGAGCCCAAACTGATTTACTTTCCTGCAGACCAGAAAAACTATTGTATTGTATTACTCTATCCAGAAATGTTTACTCCCAGTTCGAATGTAGCTCTGACCAGGCCATTAACTGATTTGAGGCATTAATTTCAGCACCAGATTATTCTCTCATTGTTACTGGCTGAGAAATGGAAAAAAAATAACAGAAACTGTCAGCTTCCCAGACCTGCAAAGCTTTTCGATTTTGCGGTAGCCGTTTCCAACTGGTGGACCAGTAGTGGTGGCGACGTTACCGTAAAGTCCGGATTGAATGAGACAGTCGTAAAAAGATATTTGCCTAACAATATAAAAAATAAACCTGGTACCATTGTACTAGGTTTTGTAAACTGTTCCTCTCTATTTTTTACGCGCGTTGCACTCAATCCGTTTGTTAATGTAATTTTCGACTCTGATCTCAAAACCAATGTGGTGTAAAGTATAAGTCGCAGCAATGACTTTAGAAGCGACCTCAGCAATTAAAGTGCTGGGTATTCTCCGCCCGTCTGCATTCAAAGATAGCTGTGACAGAACCAGATACAGATACAGATATTTGTTTTTCGTTTTTCTTTTATACAACCAACAGTCCTTTTTGGCGCAGATAAATGCTACGTTTTTAATCAAGTTGGAGTTAAGTTGATACCTCGCTGATAACACGCACCAATTCGCTTGCTCATTGGCTTGGAGCTTAGCCAATCATCAAGGGAAAAAACCAAAAATAGGTACATAAAATTACCACAACTAGATTGGCACACTGGTCGGAGAGAGCACGGAGAGACCCTGGGTCGAGCGTTTAACGTCTCCCGTGGGAGCAGTACTTATCAACTTGGCCCTTGTAATACCAAGCAGCTCCTACTGTAAGACATAGACCATGGCTTGACGAGTACCATCATCTTGACGGCGCTCCATTCCCTGCAACTGATCGGGCCAGGCGGCTGGAGACTGTTGTCGTACTTCATCAGTGAAAATTCATCACTACATCATTTCTCATTTTGCCACCAGCCCCTCGAGGCCTGAACACGTCCTGCAAGATGGAGAATGAAGACGACGGAGCAACCGTCGCCAAATAGAATGCTGCGGTTTGTGGCTGAAGCACCAGAATTTACTTTTCAAAACGCTACGGTGTAATAGATAAAACTATAAATATAGCCCCGTGTTATGGCGTAATTTATCCAACTAACTTAGCTCAGATAACGTTATTTGCTAGTCAACGATATAACGATAACGACGCCACCACTATGGGCCAGTGCAATGATCGACCTGTCGGCAGCCGTCAACTGTTCTTTTTTTTTCTTACGCAAATGCTGCAATAATCGCTGTGTGATTGTGCGTAGTTGCAGGAAGTGTTGCATGTAGTGTTCTTTTCATTCATTTTGGCCAAACGGATAGTTGTAGTGCAGGCTACGCCTATATCTAAATATTCAGCCAGCCCCAGCTGCACATGGCAGTTGTGGAAAGCAGATCC